AACGACATATGTTATTAATATGCACTTTGAAAGTAAGGCAGGAATCGAGTGTAACTTCTAGATCCTTTACTTTGTTTACGGGTTGTACATCATGCCCTCCTACTTTGATGGGACGAAGAGGACAATCAGGTTTCATGTAACGGGAATAAAAATGAATTACTTCCGTCTTTGATGGATTGCCCATAAGCATATTGCAAGTGATCCAATTCATAACGTCGTCAATACAGGCTTCCAACTTTTCAGTTGCGATAATGCAGTTATTACGATTCAGAAAAATATAAAGTTGAGAATCATCAGCATACATCATGGCATCTATTCCATGGGACATGATCACATCTTCGAGGGGAGCAATGTACAAAGAGAACAACAATGGTCCCAAAACAGATCCCTGCGGAACCCCACAGCTAGCGAAACACGGTCGTGAAGAAACATTATCTACGACCACGCGCTGAGGGCGATCACAACTTTAGGTACGACTTTAGCCAATCCAGAACTACCCCCGAAAGACCATAACGATTACACAGCCTGTCAAGCAAAATGTCGTGATCAATTGTGTCGAATGCTGATGAAAGATCAAGTAACACTAGAACACATTCTTGTTGATCATCAATCCCCCTCATTACGTCATTCACAACTCTAAGTAGTGCTGTCTCTGTACTGTGATGGATTCTGTACGCTGACTGCATCTTGGCATATAATTGATGATTTGTTAAGTAGGTGTCAAGTTGGGAAGCAACAATCTTTTCGAGTGTTTTGGAGAGAAATGCTAAATTTGAGATTGGCCTAAAATTATTAAATTCATCTCGATCTAATGACATTTTCTTGATAAGAGGCCGCAGAAGAGATTCTTTCCATTTCGTTGGAAAAACTCCTTGTTCCAAAGATGCATTTATGATGGTTGTTATAGTTGGTAAAAGGACATCAATACAACTTTTGAGCAACCATGTTGGAATTGGGTCTAATTGGCAAGATTTGGGTTTTGACACCATGATGATATCCTGCACTGCACTTATTGAAACTCGCTCAAAATGTGTTAGAAAACTGCAACATTTCTCGGCCCGATCAACAGTTACATTTGAACGTAATTCAGATAGTTCCCGTCTTAAGATAAGAATTTTTTATTCAAAATGTGCACTGAACTGTTCAACTAGATCCTCGGTGGATTCATGTTTTGGTAGAATTGGAGTAGTTTTCACATTCAGCATTTCATCGACAAAGTTAAACAACTGTTTTTTATTACACCCCTGTACTTTGGTCGTATAATAATTTACTTTGGCAGTTTCCAGTGAACGAGCATACTCAGCACATGCCTGTTGGTACATTTGCTTGTGGACAGTTAAGGTGGTAGATACATATTGTCTCTCCAACCGTCGTTTCTCACGTTTTAGTTGCCGTAGTTGATCCGTGTACCAAGGAGAGTGTGGTCTAACAGTAATATTCCTTGATTGTATCGGAGCATGTTTGTCGAGAAGTGAACAGAGAGTATCATTATAGAGTGTTACTAGGGTGTCCAAATTTGTTGCATCTTCAGAACCTTTTTCCACTAGTGAGGACACCACAATATCACTCTGAAATCTTGTGATGTCAATGTTTTTAGTCTTTCGAAAAAGAACAGCTCTACGGGTGGCATGCGGGCGGGGAAAGTCGATGTTACACAAAACAGGTTGATGGTCAGATAATGATTCTCCCAAAACAGTCAAATTTGAAATTAGATTATCGTCAGAACGAGTCAAGACAAGATCTAGCGTATGGCCACGTCGATGTGTTGGACCAGTAACGTGTTGTTGTAAACCAGCAGGAATAATCAGTTCCATGAAAGTCTGTGCATTAGTGTCAGTAAGGTTATCGATGTGAAAATTAAAATCCCTAGCCAATACAATTTTGTTTGGTTCTGATGTAATACCTTCGAGCAATGTAGAGAAGTCAGAAAAGAAACGTACAACTGTTAGTTTGTTCTTCCTTGATGGTGGCGGCCGATAAATTGTCAGTAAACGGAAAGTCTTGTTCGCCAAGGTAACACTTAAATCAAGATGCTCAAAAGATTGAAATATACAAGATTCCGTTTGTTTTATGGTAAGACCTCTGCGTACAATGACTGCTACTCCACCACCCCTGTTTGTCCTTGGCAAGTGGTAAATATCATGGTCTTGCAAAGTGTTTGTGAGATCAGCAATAACAAAACTATCGCTGCCTGTCAACCACGTTTCAGTTAAAGCTAATATATCCAAACGTTCAGAGATAACAAGGTCACATAGCGAAGTTATTTTGTTTTTAATTGAACGTGCATTCCATACCGCAAACCGTAAACGAGGTCAGCAATTTGAAACATTAGATTCCAGAGGAATTTGTACGAGATTATTGTTGTATTAGCATATTATTAGCATAAATCATGATATGTATATAAGTAACCGAACTAGTATTAAAGTCAAGTTAGTAACACAACATGGTGGCAGCGGTGGGATCTTGTTACAGGGCTTGTAAATGAAGTAAAAGAGTGGAAGAGCGGTCGGTTGACGACTTAGAGGCGCCACTAACTTCTTACAAGACTCTAGTCCCTTGATTGCGTTAGAGATAGCCAGAATGGCATCTTTTCAAGTGCAGCCTCCGGAAAAATTTACTTTCAAGCCAGAAGATTGGTTGAAATGGAGTCGGAGATTTGAGCGATTTAGGATGGCGTCTGGTCTCGAGAAAGAAAGCGAAGAAAGCCAAGTTAATACCTTGATTTATTCAATGGGTAGCGAAGCGGACGACATTGTGCAATCTCTCAGTATCGCTGAAGGCGACCAAAAGAAATACGATGTTGTTAAAAAGAAATTGGAAGATTTTTTCATCATCAAGAGAAATGTAATCTTTGAGCGAGCTAAGTTTAACTTGCGAAGTCAGCAGGAAGGAGAAACCGTCGACGTGTTTATTACGGACTTGTTCAACCTTGCAGAACATTGTAATTTCGGTGTTTTACGCGAAGAATTGATCCGTGACCGTATTGTTGTTGGAATTCGGGACAAAGCGTTGTCGGAAAAGTTACAGCTCAAAGCAGACCTAACCCTAGAAAAAGCCGTGAACTTTGCCCGACAGAAAGAAAATGTTAGAAAGCAGCAAGGGTTTCTTCGAGGCGACGGCAAACAGCAAATCGACTATGTGGGCGTGGGGAAATTTGCAAAAATAAGAAAGAATGAGAAATCAAACATCAAAGATCAAGACAGAGGACAAATACACAAAGGCAACGGAAAATGCAGTAGGTGCTTAGGACCTATGCATCCTAAGAAAAGCTGTCCAGCAAACGACTCAAAGTGTCATAAGTGTGGCAAGATTGGTCACTGGAAAAGAGCGTGTAAAAGCACAGCGATCAGTGAAGTCAGCCGAGACACAGGTGAGATCTTTCCAAACAGGTGCGGATCTAGGATTTTTCAAACATAAGTCGAACGCCGAAGGCGTGAGACTTGCTGGGGGGTCTGGGGGCATGCCCCCCCCCCCGGAAAATTTTGAAATCTAGAGTCTCTGAAATGCGATTTCAAGCGTTTTGGTGGTGAGATTTTGCAGAATTCCAAAGATTATAAAGTACATCAAGCACATGCTTTTTTTATGATCTCACAAACGTGCCTTCTCCCAGTCCTCGGAATTAGATTCACTAACGGAGGGTCATATTACAAAACACATCATGTAGTTTCAACTTTCAATAGCCTTTGATTTTGGCTCATGAAATCCTTCGCAAATTGAAGTGATATGATACCAATGACCGATCCAATATAACTCGCTGTTTGTGAATCAAAATTATCAAGCAAAATAAAGAGTAATATTTCAATTATACTTTGTAAAATGCATTTTTTATTCAATGAATTACAATATGCTATAAATATCACTTGTATAGTATAACGATATTCATCGCAAATCTTCCTGGAATGCAAATCATCCAAATGATATTGTTCTAACACTCCAATACAATGCTCTATTCTGGCCCGTTTTGTTTTACATTGGGCAATGCATTTATAAATCATAAATACAGCAGGGCTATAAAGCCCGAAAGCGCATGTAAGTTGCAAGTCGATTGCGTGTAAAAATGTATTAATTAAAGCGTGTTGTATTTCAACTTCGCAGACGCATATATCATACAAGATACATTGCAATATATTAATTTCTGTTTCATAATTTTGGATATTCTCATACATTATAGCAGTGCACACTTTCCCTTTGGCTTTACCACCCAAATTACGACCATGATCTTTGTGAAGCACGTAGCAGAGAAGTCCCAACTTAGTGCCTTCTAGTTGTTGAACAGAACAACATTATACAAGCTGCTCGCTTGATATCTTGGCTGCCCCACAATAATCCTCATTCACAGACAATTCAAGTTTATTAAAGGCCGTTAAATCGTCTCGTAAAATCGGCCGCGTACATATAAATACTCGACATCGTAAAATAATTCTCCCAACTATGAAAAACCTTCGTATATGGGAATATGAACGACTGCTTTGCATGAATTTCGCAATTTTCAAGGACTGATATCCCCAGCCGCGAATAAGTCCGAATCAGTCCAAAAAAATGAACCAATAGGAATTGTCAATAATTTCAAATTGACCAATCAAAATGAAAGAAATGGACTGATAAAAACTCCCTTAAAGTGCAAATCAGTCGGACCACCCCATAAAAAATCCCTTAAGTTGCAAATCAGTCCGACCACCCCACAATATTTTCAAATTGACCAATCAAAGGAACGAAATGGACTGATAAAGACTCCCTTAAAGTGCAAATCAGTCCGGCCACCCCACAGATCAGTCGAGATAAGTCCAAATGACCTCTCGACCAATCAAATGAGCATAACGACCACCCGATTCTGCGAGATTCTTGCGTTTTACCGCTGCTCTATATAAAGCATATAATTATTCAAAACTGAGCTCGTAAAGACGTATACTGGACTATGATATGAATTTCATATTATATTATATTCGGGAATTAATTATTCAAATTTCGAAATAATAAATTAATTATTTCTCTGAAAAAAATGCGTCAGTCACGCGACTGATTGGACTTACCCTAGATCCGCCCCTGTTTCCAAATGAGTTTTTTCTAGGCGAAATAGTCGTAGAAAGCATTGAAGCATTTTCTCGCGACATGGTATCCCAGAGAGAGTTAAATCAGATAATGGACCCCCTTTCGATAGCGGCGAGTACCTCCATTTCGCGAACGAGTGGGGATTCGAAGTTCGTCACAGCAGTCCGAAGTACCCTCAGTCAAATGGTGAAGTAGAACGAGCCGTACAAACCATAAAGAGACTGCTCAAGAAAGAGAAAGATAAAGAAAAAGCTTTGTTAGCTTATCGATCTACACCGTTATCCTGTGGATATTCCCCAGCCGAGTTGCTGATGGGAAGGAAGATTCGTACAACGATACCAACATTCCATAAATTGTTAACACCGAAGTGGCCCGATCTTATTAAGCTACAAGAACACGAAGCTCAGTCCAAACTACAACAACAGAAGTACTTCAATACCCGACATTGTGCAATGCCACTTAAACAAATACCTCAAGGAACTGAAGTTCATATTTCCACCCACCCAGAAAATGGTGTTGTAAAGACTAGTACGGAAAGTCCACGACAGTATGAAGTTGAGACTCCAACTGGTGTTATTAAACGAAACCGTGTTCAGTTGGTTCCACTGCCAGAAAAACCGATCGCGCAAAGAGAAACTAGTGAGTCGGATAATAATATTCCTGAACTCAATATATATTCAAGGCCAAAACGAACTGTAAAATTATCGTTAAAAGCACGCGAGAGCAAAGGACTTGCTTAGAACTTAATAGAACTATAGAACCAGTAAAGTTAACTTATATTCAATTAAATTTTAATTAGTCAATTATTGAGCAAATTGATTAACGAACACGTAGATTAATATTTTAGAAAAACGTAAAAAAATATTTAAAAAAAAAGGGAGATGTTGTATTAGCATATTATTAGCATAAATCATGATATGTATATAAGTAACCGAACTAGTATTAAAGTCAAGTTAGTAACACAACAATTATTATAATAATAATTTCGCGTGGAATTATATGCAAATTGCTTTGACCTTTGTACCATAGGTGAATTACTGATATCTTGTATATTAAAATACTTCGAGGCTTCCCTCTGCTTTACTTTTTTCCCACTTCTCTTACCACGATAGCTCCGATTAGTTTTGCAAACATATGGCCACCCTAAAGCGGCTCCAGCCGGAATACGATTATTGTAGAAACACAAACTGTTCGCCGGCAAATGCGACAATTGTAATAATATATTATCATACATATGACGCCCAGACCCAGTTGTTGTTGTTCTTGTAATGTCAGCATTTCGATAGCAGTTCTGACTATGTAATACACTGGTCTGCCCCAAAATATTCTGACAGTTATTAAACGATCTGATAGGCCCTGGATTTAGCTCAACATCCACATAGGTCTTTCTGTGGAAGAATGTAACAGATATAGCCGTGTTTTGTCCAGGCATATAATGGTCGTGATGGATAATGTCCGCCGTCCTTGCATAAGAAATAACGTTTGTGCCAACTTCCAGGACTCTCGATTTGATCGAACATAGCATTATGTTCACCATAGTTGATAGTTTGATGGAATAAAACATGAAAAAGCACGGATAAAATCAATAAAACACAAGAGCACAAATACATTGCAGCCATGTTTAGGCGCATTTACATACGGGGGGGGGGGGGCTTATATTTGGGGGGCTTATAGTCGGAAGTTTACGGTATATTGAAATATCATCTTTATAAATTCTTGCAAATTTCAAAGTTTATACCGTTTTTATTTACAACTACTGTTTAAGATATTGTCTTATAACATATATAGTAACAATTTGCCGGTAAAGGAATTTGTAATTAATTCCTTTTTTCCGGAGTAATTTTTTCATTGTACTTAATTACATTTCAGAACAAGTAATTGTAATCAGGAATTTATTACATTTTAAAGCAAGTAATTGGAATTGGAATTAATTCTTTTTTAGTGGTAATTTTGCAGCCCTGCGTTTCACATAACAAATTGTACAACTTTTTTGCAATTTTTAAACGTAAACATTTATAAGAATTGATATTGTATGAGAGATCCTAAAGTATAGGGCAAGTTTGTTTCAAATGTTTATGTATGACTTTGTATTTAATAATATAGACTTTGTTCTTGATGTTCAAGTCTTTCCTATGCATTGTTTGCGAAAGTTTCTTAGGTAAATTAACTTTTGTAGAAGTTCATGATAAAAAGGAAAGCAAATTATTTTCATTAGCGTCCTGTACGAATTAAATTTATTTCATTTCAAAGTGCGAGTAATACATTGAAGCTCGAGTTGAGATCGAAGTTTATAAATATCGGCAAAAAGCAGTTACAGTAATTTCAATTCACATTTTAAAACGTTTTACGTAGAGTTTCGTTTTGAATTTTACATTAAAATAAAGCCCATATATAGAAACCAAAATAATATACCTACATTATATATTTTAGAAATTGGTAGCAGGGCCGTAGCTAGAAACGATAATTGGGCGGGGTGTATATTCATATATTCATGTTTACATACCATAAAAACAATCGATTTCCGAAAGGAAATCTGTCGGGCAGAACACGAATATATGAATGTGCACCCCCTCCCCAATTATCGTTCTAGCTACGGCCCTGATTGATAAAATTTCATATATTTTTTGCAGGTTTGTACAAAAAATTTAAAAAACAATTACCGTGTTGCCATGACTGACATGACGTGAGCAACCCGAGCCTGCGTTCAGTGTTGGCGTAATTACGAATACTTCATGTTGAAACAATGTTTGGAAAATATAGGCGAGGGGTTGTTGCATGCATGCATTTCTAGTTACCTGTGTTTGATTCGATATCACAAGAGTAAATTATTCGCGATACTTATTATAAGATGATCGATGCTGAACTACAGCCATCTATACAGTATCAAGCAGCGCGTGTGAAAGTCATTCAAATCAAATCAAATATATTTTTGCCACAAAAAATGACAGTATAGAAAATATACAAGGAATTAAAAAAAGCAAGGAAGCCCAAAAGAAACCAAAAGGCTTATAGAGTTTGGACTACCTTTTACATTCTGATAAGACCGAAGCTCATTTAGAATATGAAATTAACACTACCGCTCTCGCTCTGACAATAATAAATAATTCATGCGTGAAAAAGAAGGATATCAATAAGTTTTAAATACACAAAAGTAACATACATTAGCAGGGCCGCCCAGGGGGGGGCAAAGGGGGCAAATTGCCCCGGGCTCCGAGTTGCTGGGGGCCCCTGAAAAATTTTTGTAGGGCCCCAGCCTTTTTTGTGTGTTAAATATTTCCGCGCAAAGAACAAGATATCTGTTTTCTTGGGCTAAGTACCGAATTTTGGCATTAAAAAATGAGATAAAGTCCCTCGAAAGCATTTGCAACGTACTCGTCCGGCAAAATTTTGTACTCCGGAAAAAAAATTTTACCCCTAAAATGGTACACTGACCGAAAATTTTTTGGCGACTGGGGGGGGGAGGTTGTTATCCGGAAAAATTTTTTTAGATAGGGGCCCCTAAAAAAAAATTTGCCCCGGGCCCCCGCCAACCTCTGGGCGGCCCTGTACATTAGCAATTTTTGTTTTCACTAGAAATTATGCCAATCAATGTATAAGCTTAGAAATAAAATCAGCTTTATTTTGGCTAGGTGGTCTATACATCACTCCGACTATCGTATTTTTCTCTTCAGGGTTAACAATTTCTACAAACAAAGATTCGATAGTGAGTGCATTATCAAAACACAAATCATCGCGAATCTTATATTCTAATACCGAAGTGATGTACAAACCAACGCCACCTCCGGCCTTATCAGTCCGACAAATATGCTCAAATTTATATCCATTAATGTCAACATGGTGAGTCGAATTTTGAAGCCAAGTCTCAGAAATACCAATAACGGAAAACATGCTGTTTATACTTCCAAGTAGCTGCTGGAACTGATTTAGGTTGCGGCATAAACTATGCATATTTAAATGCATAAATGATAAACAATTGATATTCGTGGTTTTATTTGACAACATATTATTTAAACTGTTCTCAGCATAAAAATCACAATTCAAAGAATCACCTAAAAAATTAGAATCCGGGTCTAAGTTACGAAATAATGTTAAGCTTTTTTGATTATTATAATGCAATGTGTTAAACTTCAGACTCAATAATCTTTCGGCTTCAAAGTTCAGTCTACCATGAGACATCTCATACAATTCTAATTGAAAACTTTCAACGTCTAATGAATTAATGGCATTTATAGAAGACTCGAAAGTAATTAGTAATTAACACACAACTAAATCACTTAGCTGAGAAATGTACAGAACTATCCTTGACGAAGGAAATTTTTTCTAAACTTTTCAAACTCTTCCATCGAATCCAAAACACTTGCGATTGATTGTTGACTTTCGTCTTTCTTCAGAAACACTTTTCCGTTCCTTGTCCAGATAAATTTAAAATGATGTTGATTTCGGAATTTCTTCACTTCTCCAAATATAGCTCGGCTCTGAGGCGTTAGGCTTTCATTAATGTAAATACGGTTTGAAGTAGAAAAGCCAAGGTCCGTGCTTGACTTGGAAATAAGATTTTGTCTCCTACTATAAATCATATTACGTATGTCCCGCCTAACAAATTTAGCGATAATTGTAGGAATATTACCTCTTGTTGAAGGCAGGCGATGACTTACTGATAGCATAGACTCATCAAAAACATAATTAGGGACAGCTAGCCGTGCGACCTCGAGAACAATACTGTTGGTATTTTTGCCTTCAGCGACGGGAACACCTTGAATTTCGAGAGTATCCCTGCGTGAATAACGACGTAGGTTTTCAACGTCCATTTCAGTTTTGCAAATTTTTCCTCAAGGACCTTAACCCGTTGATGTAAATTATCATTTTCTTTCTGCAATTTGCTATTCTCTGTCTTAAGGTAATTCCGAAGTTTTGCATTGCGCACTTTTACTGCGCACATCTTATAACTTATAATTTCATCTATTATCCGTACCGTTTAAAACAAAATCGTTTTATGACAATTTTATGTTACTTCAAAACATCTTTGGTTACACTAATTCGTGCAAAGAATTATGTTAAAATCAATGTTTTCAAAAAATGCATACAAAAGTGTAGCTAGGGTTCACTGTGTCTGTAGTATATTTATTTACTTTTATTTCACGGTTTAATGCCACAAGTCCCTAAAAAGATCGGTGACCCCCGTTTTTTAACTGATAATTTATTTCTTTAATGCATTTTACATTTCATATCCGAAATTAAAAGAAAAATCATTTCTGGATCTTGAAAAAAAATCCTTTATCAATGCATGTTCTCAAAGAAAGATATGTAAAGAAATGTGGAAAAGACATTTGTGGATCAGAATTGTACACGTTAGTAGTTTCATTTTGCTCAAAACACAATAATTTTTCAAAAATAATTACAAGATAGGTTTAGCTACTAAAGCAAATTCCGCGCTAAAAACGTCAATAAATATATCGGGCTGTTCTGATTTTGTTGTTACTCGTAATGAGCGTCAAGATGGCGCCATATCGGGTAAAGGTGGTGTATTGTGATTGTCATATCTTCTTAACGAGTTCGGTAACCCCGACTTTTTTTGTGTGATTTTACTTTAAGTATATCATAAACTCCATGCCTGGGAAGTTTAAGCACATTCTCATTTCGGGAACAATTACTGCGGAATTACCTTAACTTCATTTATAATGCTGACTAGCTCTTCAAATTTTGCTGTGAGGAATCCTTGACTCTCCTTTATTTCAACTAAAGCGGCTTTAGTCGAATTTGAATCCTTGATAAAGAGATCGTTCATTTCAACTGTCTGTTGTTTAAAACGACGATCAATTATAGCTTGTAGATCTCGTTGAAGCGTTGCTAAGTTGGTACTATCGCCCGAATTGGAGTCTGCAGCGTGTTCGTCGTCGTTTAAATCATTTAATTTTATTTTTTTCTTTGGAGGCATTACATTAACATTCTTACGTCAATCTAAACCGAAGATTTTAGAAAGATATATCTATATAACACTTTTTTTCGAAAATAGCGGAGCTCTAAAGACACGTCTTGCTCCGATGTTTCAACGAAGGTACTGACGACGCTCGAATATTTTGGTGGTAAGTTAAAAATAAACAGTAAAATATTCTGCACAAATATTCTTGTGAGACACAGCAAAACCAATACTTATAAATTACTAACTGTTCAACTCCTCTTCATTGATCCACAGAAAATGTATAAATACTATATACATTGTCACGTTGTACATTTAAGGTACAGTCAGTTGTTGCGGTACTGCTCCGTGATTGACATACGGCATAATTTCATGAAAAATATAAAGTGTATTTAATTGTGCATGTACAGTAAATTTACCTGTAAAAGAACACTGAACCCCCACGCCCACACTGCTGCTGCAATTATGATTTCCCCATCCGCTATGTAAACAACTGGTCAAACTTTGTTCACTTCCAGTACAGTTGGCGTCATCTAACCATACCTTTCCGGAACCACGAAAAACGTTACCTCCTCCAAAAGTTTTGAAACCATCTTTATATCCAAGTTGACGACATACAACTTGAGCATCACTTATATCCCAACTATCATTACAGATTGTTCCCCATTGGCCACTGTAGAATATCAACACACGACCAGTACCATTGGAACTTAATGGTCCTTGTAACCGGACAGCTATCGATTTCTCTGTAAAAATTAAAACAAATATCTGAGTGAATGATCGTAATGACATGATCTTTGAACGATATAGTGTTTATTTCGAAATACAAATGTTGAATTATGTAAAATAGCATGACTTGACTTCGTGGTTGGCTCTTGGAAAATTTACTTCGTATCTTAGAAAATGCCAGAGCGCTGCAACGGAATCGAATGGCAACATGTTCGATCAATTTCAGCCACAAGGGAGTAGCCAGCATTATCGTTCCATTATTCGAATTTGCTCCCGGTTAGGTTTTGATATGTATTTATAATTTTCGCTCGACAATTAAGAAATAAAAGACGAGTCGCGTGCGTTTATGGTGTGATAATGCACGCGGGAATGTTGGAATATTATGAACAAATATTTTAACACGATACAATTTCACCTAATAAAAATAAACTCAAATTAAAAAGAAAAATGGTAATCTTCCAACCGGCCATGCTCACACAAGTAGAAATAAGAAATATATCATTTACAAGAAGATTATTTAAAATAGATAGAAACAAATTGATGTTAATTTGCATGTTTCAAGTTAAACTTAAATTAGCAATAGTTGTCGATGCTTTTAGCGATGTAGAAAAGGCAGTTCCACACTTCCGTACATCTATAGGAGAACGTATTTTTCATATTATTTGATTTTGGTTTAGGCAATGTCAAATCGGCTCCCGACTGTCTTGTGTTATGGTCGGGTACGTAATCCACATTCTTATTTAATCAACATATCACACAAGTAATCGGAGACCAGTCTGTTTTTTACCTTGTACATGAAAATTGAAAGTTGTTGCATTCTTCTTTTCTCGAGGTTCGGAACTCCTAGCTTATTTAATATATCAGCTGATCGTGTCGTGTAATTCTCACGTGTGATTATTCTAAACGCTCTGTTGTGTAATTTTTATGCTTTAGCTGCTAATGTTTTCCAACACTTGAACACAATAATCGAAATAAGTTTCAATTATGGATTGGTATATTGTTATTAAGGTATTGAATTGAACTATATCTCGGATTCGTCTGAGAATAGCGAGGCCTGAGATGATCTTTTTTGAAATGTGTTCGACATGCGCAGTCCAGTTTAGAGACTCGTCTATCATTATAGGATTTTGTCGTCTCAACTGTCTTAATTTTTAAGTTACCTACGTTGATAGCACGATCGGTAGGCACTTGACTAAGCCTTTTCTTGGAACCAATTATCATATATTCGGTTTTACTATTGTTTAGAGTTAATTTATTTGTCGACAGCCAACTTGCAACATTGTTTAAATCTCTATTCCATGTTTCAGTGATTACATTAATTTCATCACTTAATGTTGCAATTTGGGTATCATCCGCAAACATATCTTGTTTTGTCTTAATTTGCGTTTAATATTACGGCATTTTGCTAAATATATCATTGATGTGAATCAGAAATAACAATGAGCCTATACCAGAACCATGAGGTATGCCTTTTTTCATAATTGATGGATTTGATAGTTTACCGTTCACACAACAGTACTGGGTCCTGTTTCATAGATACGACTCCAGGTAGCAATGTGCCATTCCATTTATTCCATAAATTGCTATTTTGTCTAAAAGTATATTGTGGTCGACAGTATCGAATGCTTTTTTCCAGATCCAGAAACACAATCCCATTTAGTTTCCCAATGTCAATATTTGCATGTATACCACTCGTTGGTTATGTTCAGCAATGCTGTAACAGTCGAGTGAAGTGGTCTAAATCCGTGCATGCTGGCAATTTGAAAGGAGATTACAGTTATGTAACTAATTATAGATTTGGTTATGAATTAGCTTTTGGTTATGAATCGGAGTAATTTTAGCGATTTTCCAATCATTGGGAAATATGCCTATTAAGATTGACTGGATGAATATTGATGACAAACATGGTGCACTCGTCACAAAAAACCATA